GGATTTGCCTTGCTTAATGTGGTTTTAATGGTAAGTCAGTTTGTAGGGTAAGTACAAGAAATCTTCCATAATCATTTTCAGGGAATTATTAAAACTCACTTCAGTGAGAAATGATACAATTTTGGTATCTGTAATTTAAAGCAAGCTAAGTACAGTTCTACATCTATGAAGAACTGTACTTAGCTAGCTTGCTTAATATATATATATACACACATATTTATATATATATTTAGTATATATTACTAAATTTATATATATATATATTTAGTAATATATATATATTACTATATATAACCTAAGCAAAGATGGTTAGATCACATAGTCAATCAATTAATCAGAGGGAAAAGATATAGTGATATAAGACCCTGATTTTTCTTCTTTAAGATTTTTGTCTTTCTGTGTTCTCACATTTGAATAATCTTTGAATGTCCACACTGAAGTGATCACTATAGAGTCCAGAGAAACTCTTAGAGGCTATTTCAGTCTAGGACTCTTTATGTAAAATTTCTGTGAATCAATTCTAGCTCTTTACCTTTACTTTTCTGTCTGTACAATATCATCCTATTTTTAAAGAAATCATTAGTTAAAAGTAATTGTATTAGCAATTTAAGAAAACTTCATTCCTAGTAAGACTGTGATGTATACAGTAGTGTCTATTTCTGGTGTCTCAGTAAGACTATTAATGTTTCCATGAGTCACGAATGGTTAAAAACATTTATCTTTGGCTTAATTTTGGCATTTGTGGTTAATCTTTTCTTTGGCTTCTGTAACCACTGGACCTCTGAAGGTTAAATGATTTGTCCATAACCATAAAACAACTGGACATCCCTGGAAGGCCATTGAATGGTTGAATTACATTTTTTACATCAGTTTAAAATGACTTACAGAGAAAACTTAATACATACATTATGTGATGAAATGGCTAAAAAATACATAATTACTAAGTCACTTAAATATAGGAAAGGAACATTATAAATGTATAAAAATGGACTCCATATCTCAGAGCTATTGTGTTAACTGTGTGAAGTACATGCACTTTATGAAACTATTTAAATTTCATAAAATTTTTATGACTTACAGGTAAATTTGTCAGCATCTAATTGAGTAAGAGATTCTTGAAAGCTTTCTCTGCAATTGTTAATTCAGCATCATTGTTCTCTCAGGCTGTTACGTGACCCAACAGGCTGGGAGAACAATATTGCTGAATATAATTGGCATATGTCAGCAAAATATAATTAGTAACAAGCTTCTTTCTGAAATGCTCTTTTTGTTGGTTTAAAAAAGTTGAAGATTTCCTCTTAGATTAAATTATAGCTTGGGTTTCTCTCTCATTTGATTTTGTTAGGTCTTTCTTAAAAAAGACGAATTAATTAAAAATTTGATTCAAGAAGTATTATTGATTTCCTGCGCTGTGCAAACAGTGTGAAGAGTTGTTTTTCCTTCAACAGGTTTTGGTTTAACTCTGAGTATGAGAGGTTTGCATGGGAAGTATGAGACACATATTATAAAGAGCTGTCATGAATCCCTGGCCTAAACCAATGCCTCCAACCTCTTTGAGTCTTGGAATAGGTGCAGTGACAGGCTATTTTTCAGGAGTTGTGACTTGGTAGATATAGACACCAAAAATTGGAACTAAGGAAAGTGTTTGTATTGTTTATCACAGCACCTCATATATCCCAGCACATTATGGTTAATGTTGGTAATAGGAGAAAATGTGTTACAATTGTCTTCTGCCTCATATGTAAAAAAGAAGATAAACATCTTTCACCACTATAGGTTATTTTGGAAAACAAATAATACTGTAATATGAACTTTTAAAGGTATAAACAAAAATATTTGCCAGATTGTTCTTTCTATAAGAAAAATAACTTTACTCAATTTCTTTAGGACTGAAGATTGGAGGGAAACATATCAATGAAAAGCTTCTTTAGAGTCACTTCTAGATGTTGTGACTTAGTTCTTATAGCCAAGTCTGAGTAAAGTAGTCCTATCTAACTGGGACCATGCATCAGTAGGAAGGAACCGTATGATTAAAGAATATGAGGAAACAAATGCTTCATCATCCACACAGACCAAAATCTATGCCAGTGACCCATAGAGTATTACATGGTAGAGACAGGTCTCAATCATATCCTTATTGCCAAGGTCTTTCTCTCACATCTTAATCTAATCCAGTCCCATGCTCTAGATTCTTTCTCATTTTACTCTCTCACCTTGTTCATGAGGTTCATGGACATATTCCTGCCTCTTAAACCATCTGTTCCTAATTTTCCTGGCCAACACACCTCATTTACTTTTTCTTGTCCTTGTATCCTGTGTTTCTGGGAGCTTGTCTATCATTTCTCAGTCTTCCACATGCATCGTGACTGTCTAGCATTTATGTTACACATCTCAAACTACATTATCATCCTCTACTACACAGAGATCATTTTAAACACAGAAAAACTCTGCATGTAAAATGAATTTGGGAAGTGAAAGAGACAAGATGGAAAATGTATTTATCTTGCTACACACGCATAATCCATTTCAAGTCTTATGGACAACTATATTTAATTCAGATTTTTGGTCTTTTTAAAGATTTGTTTAAAAAATACAATCTGCTCTGTAGAATAAGTTGAGTTCAGATAAAGGTCTAGCAAGCCATGAAATAATCACAATTATTCAAAGAAAATTTATAGGCAAAGGCCAGCAACAGATTTCAAGATCATTTATCCATAAGAAATAATATAGACAGAGGACTAATAAGCTCAACATAAATAAGCAGATTGTCATAGAGGGGTATGATATAACCGCAAACTCTTGGAAGATCAAATAATAATGAAATCTTGACCATGGGAAAATAAGAGGGGCCAACAAAACAGATGAATCGAAATGATAACTAGTTGGCATTACCAAAGATTTCTCTGTTTTTTAAAAGGGTCTTCAGTAGCTTCTATTTTAAAAAGTTAGTACCCCTATTCAAGAACACATGATATTGAGTTCTTCAAATAGCAGTTCATGTATCAATTTTCAGGAAGACAAATTGATAGAGTGGGAAGAGAGCTGGACCCTAAGGCAGTAGAGATGGCAATAAAGCAAGAAACTGAATCTTGAAAAGCCTCAGTTTCCTCATCTGTAGAATGGGTCACTGTTTTGCAAGCTGTGTTCTGTGGAGAATGGCAGATTATTCTGTCAGCTTTGGGTTCTCCTGAGTACTAACTTCCTCGAAGTGGGCAGATTAAACTCATGACATAAGACAAATGCATATGACCACACTATGAATGGTTTGGTGGAAATCCACATTATAATAATATAATTATGCAATTATGGGCAGCAAAAGAGAAGGAAAGATTTCTTGGCAAACTCAGGAGACTGGCAATGCACAGTAGGTGGGACCCTGCCTGGAGAGTTTCTGGATTCCATCCCTTTGCAAGGGTGAGGGAGTGTCACTTCTCAAGGAGAGAGTTCCAACTCTATTCATACCTGGGAGAAGGTTCCAGAACTACAAATACAAAGTCCATAAACATCTTAGATTGCTTCAAATTTGGTGCCTATATTTACAACATTTCTCAGGAGCATCTTATCAGGACCCCCTGTTACTTTCGATTTAGGCAGAGCTTATCCACATAGTCAGGTTTTAATCTGTCCTTACCTTTTTCAAGTCTGTTTGTATGTGTCTTTGGAAGCAAGTGGCTGCTTTTTATTGATAGCATTTTAAATCACTCCATTGCAATTGCCCCCACCTTTCCATCAGTCAGAGTCATTACAATAGCAATACACAGAACATCTTAATCAGTCAGGATCATTACAACATCAGTATCATTACATATGAAATTGTTCCTGGGTGCTTTTCTTGTGGCTTTAACCAGAATAACTCCAATTTGTATTTTCCGTTTTTAACTTATGCATGATTTTTTTTTAACTAAAGCCTCTACAACAACAACAAAAAATATGTTTGAAATCTCTTGTTCTGGATGAATTCAGAAAGTGTAGCAAGATATATAGAGAAAGATAGGTTTGGAATAGGTAAACCTGATTTGAATCTTAACTCTGACTTTGACAGAGTAGAGACAAAGAATGCATGTTAAGAGCTATATTTTAGAAAGACCATCTTGGCAGGGCTTTAAAGTATGGGTGTGATGATATAGAGACTGTAAGCAAAAGTTGTAATATTTAGAAGGTTTTGAAATAGTCTAGGTATGAAATGAATTCAACCCAAGCAGTGGCAATAGAGATTGCCATTGGGAGTATAGATTTAAGAACCACTAATGGAGTTAGACTCTCTAGGAATAAAGGTATAAAAGATAAGGAAGTAGTCTGGAATGACTCACTCTTTTCTAATGATATTGACTAACGGGGAATCCAGAAAGCGGGAAAGCATGATAACTTAATATCCACGTGTCATATGTAGTTGAAAGGCCAATTTCATAGACATGGATATATCTACGAGGATCTGGAGTGTAGAAAGAAGATCTGGGTACTGCAGGGGGAAATGAAAATTTTTTATGTATGAAAATATAAAAGTTTTAGGGACCACAGCAAAAATTTAAGACCTTTACCGGGGGGGGGGGATATAAGTGAGGATATAAGGATATATAAGTGAGGATATAAGTGAATGACCTCAGGTATCCATTGTATGTAATGAATTTAATTTTTCTGCACCTAAAATAACATTATTTATAAAAATAAATCTGCATTAGGGTTCTCCAGAGAAACTTTTATACAAACACACACACATTTGTGTTTTTTATATATATATATATATAATATATGATAGATATATATATAAATTATATTTATTATAAGGGATTGACTCATATTGTTATAGGGGTAGAAAAGTTCCATGATCTGTGTCTGAAAACCAGAACCCCAGGAAATCCAGTGGAGGAATTTGGAATTTAGTCCAAGTTTAATGACTTTGAGAACCAATAGCATTAAGGAAGGAAAAAATTCATGTCCCAACTCAAGCAATCAGATAGGAAGAGATGACTCCTTTTCTTTCTTTCTTATTTTCAATCCAGGCCCTCTATGGACTGAATGAGCACAACTACTTTGGGGAGTAAAAACTGCTTTACTGAGTCTACTGATTCAAATACTAGTTTTATTCAAACCAGTCCCAGAGGCCATGGGAATGGATCATGCCCATTAATCTGAGCTGTGTCATGAGCTGCTGAAGGAATGTGATGGGTTCATGCAGACACACATGGCCCTGGAAGCAGGAGGAGGAGATGGTCTCCCAGGATTCTGTCATTATGAGGAAGAAATGGTGATACCAAGATGGCCAAACTGACCTATTCTCCTCACCTCAATGGCACAAGAAATCAGTGACTGACATTTTCTTTAGGAGTCAAAGAAGCCTTCGTGGTAAGCCACCAGAAGAGTTTACATATGATTTCACTAAGGTCTTACAGGTGTGTTTAGAATTGTGAACATTCTAAACCTGATAAGAGTGGTTATACTTGAACTGCCAACCAATAACTTTGTGCTAAATGTGGAGAATTTAGAAGGCCAAACTACTTGCTTTAACCATATTATAAATGCAACTAATGAAGTTGCACCTTTAACTACAAAGAGATATATCAAATGCTGTTTTATTCCTTCAACTTTGGCCTATGAAATTGTGAAAATATGTATTAAAAATGAGATGATACATATTGCACTGATTATATTTAAAAGGCGGATGAGAGAAATGTACTGACTTTGAAACGCCAAACCAAGCTAGTTTTCACAGTTGGGAAATAGATATCTGGGTTAAGAAGAAAGATTCCAAGCATAAGGCAAAAACATACCACTCTAAGCAAAAAATTTATTTGGGGGATATGTCTTCCAAACTAAGAAAGGTGGAAGGTAGAAGCCATTAAGAGATTGCTATAATTTTGTAGTAAATCAATTTTCTGCATTTGAAAGAAAAATCATAATAAGCAGTAGCATCTACCTAAACAAAGCAAAGGAAAATATTTCTCAAGTTCAGAGGGCATTCCTTTGGACAATATGGAAATTTTACCTAAGAAAATATGGAATTATTAGAAAATTCTGAGAGGTATATGCAAATAATTCCAAAAGTAATCTGGATTATTTGTTTTCATTACCATTTTGAATATGACCTGAAATTTTGAGAAAAAATAATAAATTATGCTTTTTATCAAATTTATTTAAAAAAAGCTGAAAATAAGAAAGCAGAATTATTTCATGCCTCACAGGTCATGTGGTTTGTAGCAAATGATTTTTGAGGAATTTTTTTTATTTTCAAAGTAAATGGTTGAAGTTTTAAGATGGCAATTGTGAACATGTTAATTTTATGTAACAATGATCAGGATTTTTATAGAGGAACATTTAGGTAATCACAAAAAAATAAGCATGGGCTTGTGTATTTAACCTGTTTAAAATAATCGTAATTGGGGGGGCCTCTATCTGCTCAATGAGGAAAAGGATCATTGTGATAGAATTATTGTCAGTTTTTACATATATTCACTTAATCTGAAATAACATATTTGAAAATCAATCTTCATATATTATACATACTATAAATGATTTGTGCCACAGAATCTACTCATCTGTTTACTTATTAATCATCCATTCAATAAATATCTCTAGTAACCCTTTGCCAGGCATTTTTCAGAGTGCTGGAGAAAGACGAATCAATAAAATATCCCCCTGATTTGAGGAACTCAGTCTATTGAGAGTGCTATGAATGCATAATTGAATTATTTAACCATGCCTGATGAGTTCAATTAGCTTTGTTTCAAATGACAAACATTAAGATTGTTTGGTCCTAACAAAACATTGCATTTTGTTTAACAAGTCAATGTTACCCTATTTTTAAGTGCATAGAATTACTTCACCATGGTGAGCAGGTGCAAGTTTTTCTAGTCAAGTCCTGGAGAAGAGGCTTGAGCAAACCTAAGGAATGGGTGGCTTACTATCTTCTTGCTCAACTTGATATCAACTCTGTTGTCCTAGAAGATCATGGCCCAGATATATCTGTTTAACTCAAGTAAAACAGGAGAATTGCTGGAGCAAAGATGAAGAAATAAAGAGAGAAAAGGAGAGAGAAATGGAGGCTTCAATGTAGAATTCCATTTCTATTCAAAATATTTAAGAGGTAATAAGGTTAGAGGTATGCACTATAGACCCTGGGATAGAAATCTTGAGAAGATGAAACTATGAGGAGAAAACTGAAGGCAAATAAGTTAAGAAAAAAACATATTTTTATTTTCAAGGGCAAAATGAAGTTTCCAGTTGTAGGCAGCATTAATTGAAATATATTGTTCAGATAATGGGGAAATAATTTTTTTAAAAATTTATTTTATTTATTCATGCATACAAGAGCTGGGGTATAGGCCAAAGGTGTGGGGGCTGAGACGATTCACCTAAGACGAAGTGGGGAGCAGAACAGGCAGATTGACTGAAATACACTGCTGAAGGGAGTAGCAGGCGAGACAGGAGAGGTCTGCTGCAAGTGGGTCAGCACCCTGGCTGGGAATCGAACTTGTGCTTCAGTGGCTGGCGATAGCTTGATAGTGCTGAGACTTAACCCTTTGCACCACCATGGAAGCCCTTATGGGAAATAAACTTATGTTCATTTCTGAGAACCATCTTTTAACTGAGAGACTGACAAATTCCACTGAATAGAGAAGGGAAAGAATAAGGAAACTCTAAGTTTCCCTTCAATTATAATTATTAGAGTCTATGTTAATTTTGAGTTTATACATAGGTTAAATATGGTCCCCGCTGAAAGAGACAAATTCACATGATTTTTTTTATTTGAAGGATGAATTCAATATATCTTATTAAAAGAAATATCAAGGTTTGTCTATGTGAGTTTGTACCTAAATGCAATTCTGTGAGATTCTTTCTATGTAAAGATTTAATTCAATAGACAGTAGGAGTTGGAAGAATAGAACAGTGAGGAGTTTTGAGGAATGTGAAGATAGCTTCATTTCTTCTAATGCATTTTTCTTCCAACAAGAGTCAGCACTTTGCCTTTAACAGTGTGTGTGAATTTTGGCTCTGCTGTTCACATTTAGAATTGTATCATGAGGAAATCATTAGGGATTTATGCAAAGTTTTCTTTAAAAATGTTCATCTTAGTGTTATTTATACCAGTGGAAAAATAGAAATAATCTACATAACAAATGTTGCAGAATGGGTTAAATAAATTATCCACTCAATTCAGTGTATAATGAATAGTTGAGATGGAAAGCTATTTGCACTATATTGTTTAGTGAAATAAATCAGATTAAAATTTGCATACATGTTATTTTGCATTATTTTCTCCATAAATATGGAAGGAAAGGATTGAAGGAATAATATGGGAATTTTAGCTCTCTCTGGGTAGGGAAATTATTTGTATTTTTCCTTTTTTGATTATTTTCTAATTTTTCCTCAGTGAACTTACATCACCTGCATATTAATAAAATGTTTTTTAAAAGATTTATTTATGAATACAAGAGCTGGGGTACAGACCAGATGTGAGGGGGATGAGAGGATTCACCAGAGACAGATTGGGGAACAGAACAGGCAGATTGACTGAAGTACTCTGCTGAGGGGAGCAGTGGGCAAGTCAGAAGAGGTCTGCTGTGCCATGTGAGTTGCTCCCTGGCCAGCCAGGGATTGAACCTGTGCTGCAGAGGCTGCAGATAGCTTCATAGATTGTGTCTTAACCCCTTGTGCCACCAGGGAGGTCCAATAAAATGTTTTTTATATTACAAGTTATATATATTTTGTACTTAAGATGTAAAAGATATACATATTTGCATTGAGATATATATCTAAAACTATATAAACAATATATATCATTTTACATGTAATATACTTTATAGCATATAATATATACTTTGTATATCATCATATAATTATATTCATATAAAACAAAAACAGGGCCATTATGTCCTTTATGTCCTATATGAAATCCATCACCAAGTATTGTCAGTCCTATCCTCCACTCAAACTGATCTTCCTTGGTTCCTTAAACATGACATCTTAGAATCTTTGCTTTAGTTAATTTCTCTGCCTTAAGCATTTTCCAAGATCTACATTATAACCATTTTCTCTTACTATAGAACTTGACTCCAAAATCACTTTCACTCTACTTTATATGACTTTCTACAGTCTCTATTTCATCTTTCTACTTCTGTCTCTTACAGCATTGATCACAAATTATAGTTCTCTTGCTTATTCCTTTGTGTCCTTGATAATGCCTATCTCCTTCTCTAGAATGTAAGATCCATGAAGCTGGAGATCTTATCAGTGATTATTGCATCTTTAACAATTATACAGCGTCTGATATAGAGTGGATATAGTTACTTGTGAACACTTCAGCAGAATGACTTTTTATTCAAAATAGCTGGAGAACTAGTATTCATCATTAAATAGAGATAAACTTACTTAACCATCTTACTAAAGTGAATGTGTATTTATGCATGCAATTATATATATATATATACACACACACAGTTATATTTATGCATGAGCATATAATTATAGTGTACACCTTTAAGACATTTGTGCAGGAACATTTGTAATACATCTACAGATAGTACACAGAATTTCAAGCATATTGAGAAGAGTGTGACGAATCTCCCTCATTGGTCCATCAACCACCTTTAACAGTTATCAACCTTTTGTTAATCTTGTTTCTTAAACAGAACCTCTCACTTCTGTCTTGGTATAGGTTGCTTTAAAGCAAATTCTAGACATTACTTTTTCACATAATTTTAATGAATGCTCTAGAAAATATAACAATCATAATTCCATTATCATTACTAAAATGAATATGAAACATCCATTTTTAAAAATTTTTTTACAGTGTGTCTTGATGCAAAATCTCTGTTACTGAACACTCTTTCACAGTCAAACATTTTTTGTGTGTATGATTTTTAGCATTGTAGATTGGTTTTTATACGATTTGGGGGAATAGATTCACAACTCTCAAGATGTATGTCACTACAGCACATCCATCACTAAAGCATTCCATAATCCTTCACCAGAGACCATTGGACCCCCTTCCCTGTTTATATCCCATCCCAATTACTAGTAGCCTCAATTATTTTTTGAAACTTGTCTTTGATTCTTTGGTTCCAGGTGGTCAAAAATGGAGGTTACTTATTTTTTCATGACATCAATAATTTTTAAAACACAAAAGTAAACTCCTTTTAAGTTTGCCTCAAGTATAAAAATGCAAGTCTTTCTTATGCATTATTTCATTTTTTAGATGTTTTTCCCATGAATCTTTTTAACCCTCTGTCTTCTCATTTTGTTAATCTGCCATCAAATGATAAATTACCTTCCAAGAGTAAATGATCCTGAAATTCTGTTTTAATGACTTATCTTGAATTCATAGATAGTCAATAAGTTTATTTGTT